AAGCGCACACTGCCTGCTCAGCATTGGAGTATTCGCAAGCCCTTCCCTCAGCGGGGAGGGCTTGCGATGATCGCAAGTGCGATCTGCCTGTCCAAGAAGGGCAGATCGTAAGTCGTGCGATGGTTGTAAGGTGTACGGCCAGCTTTTGGCTGATCATTTTCCACCTGCTGGTGGTGCTGGCAGGGACACCTTCAACTTGAATTTTGGCTGATTCAGCAAGAAATTTATAGGTTCCAGTTGAACCAGCCAAATGCAGAATACGCAATGCTGTAAAATTCTACTGAATATTTATTAAATTTAGGCTGTACAGAAATGCTCAGTATACAAATTAGAAATAATGCCAGGAATGACTTGAAGTGAGTTTGCTAAATATGAGAATTCCCAAATAAAAATTGCAGAAAGATTATGGTTAATTTTTAAACACAATTTTCCCCCAATGTGGGGAATTTATCAAATCACTTGGGACAGTTTTAGCCTCTTAGATAATTTTTTTATGTGCAAATCTGTCTTATAACATGTGCCCCTGTTTTCACCTGATCTTGCACTATTTTTCGAAATTGCGCGTGTTTTGCGCTTGCTTTACGAAAGTTTGCAACTGTTTTCATCTGCACTTGTCCTCTGGCTGTCTGAAACTGGAGCATCACCCAACAAAACAATCGCAACTTAAGAAGTCCCCATGACCACTTCTTCAAGAAGCGACAGTTAAGCTATTTGTCTGGAGTGACGAGTCTTCTTTCCTGGAGTCTATTTAACCTCATTTATGAATAACATTACACTAACATCATAAATCTGGCGCAAAGTGCATCAAATATATTCCATGCAAGTTCAAACACTCGCAATTGCTGTGATAAATTCCCACCTGTGTATTCTATAGTCACTCATAATAGGTGTCTGACAAGCTTCTAACTATAGAGGACATATTTAATTTTTTTTAATGATTTTTTTTTTTTGTATGCTTAAAAATAAAAAATTAATTTGCCAAGTAAATAATAAATATTATACATGAATACAGGTATTCCTCACTTAACGACCGAGTTCCGTTCCTACGACCAGGTCGTTAAACGGATTGGTCGTTAAGTGAGGAACTCTATACAGTACTGTACTGCATTAGTACAGTACTGTATAGCGTTGCCGATGTACAGTAACGAACAGTGTACTGTACATCGGGCAATGAAAATACTTACCAGGACCCGCAATGAAGATCGGAGGACACCACTTCCGCCGGCGACACGGCGCACTGACGCTGACGCGCAAGGTCGGAGGTCGATCGGCGCTCCGTCGTAAGTGCGAGTGGTCGCAAAACAGGTAAGTCGGTAAGTGAGGAACATCTGTATTTCCCATTTACCACTTGTAACCAACAGGTGATACAATTGAGTAATGCATTTTGGAAACGGTGCCATTGAATTCAATGCACCGCCATGCCCCCTCCTGCCCCAGAACAAAGGGGGAAGTTTTGTGAGGGATTGCGGTGCGTTCCATCTGCTACCGCTGTGGAACGCACTGCATTTGGTGTGAACAAGCCCTTAAAGAACGACTCCAGGAAAAACATTTTGTTAACCCTTGCAGTGGGGCTATCTCTGCACTGCAAGGGTTAACCGCTTGTTTTCATCTAGTACTAAAATAAAAAAGTTATACTGACCTGAACTTTGAGGCCGGCAGGCTATGACAGCATAAGTGTAATTAAACGCTCCACAGTTTTAGCATATATCTACTGCTAGCAAGCACTTGGAAACATTTAGCCGCAGATAACAAGGTAAAACAATGAACAGCCCATAAAAAGATAAAATAAAAAAGCAGATTTTGTTGCAATATTCACCTTCAAGCCACAGTACTTCTTTTCTACTATTGTGTGTCCTCTGACGGCCAGCATCACTCAGCTCACTTTCTTTGCACCCAGGCTGCCATGGACCTTCCTTCAGCCTGTAATTGGACAGTGGAAGGAGAAGCGGCACAGGGATAAGCTCATCTCTCTGTCACTATGTTTTCTTCTCCCATCAGCATGCTCTTTGTCCGGACATGAACTGATTGGCTCCTTGTGCACCTCTCATGCTCAAGTAATGTTATACATGGACTGTCAGACTAAGTCAGGTACTTAGGCTGATTGAACTGAAAAAATAACTTCAATAATGCTTTAATAATTACAGAGCCACATTCATTTCTGCCTTTTACACGTGCATAAAGCAGCCTTTCTCAACCAGAATGCCCTCTGCCTTCTTCGGAGGTGCCACAAAATTTTGCCTTTCCATAGTGCAGGCGAACTCCTGATGTGAAGGGGGTAACATGAAACACAGGGA